TTCCATGCCCTCATTGTTGATATGTTACAGACTCTAGGTGAATATGACATTTACCTTCTCAAGAGGAAGGTGATACTTTTGCGTTTGCTCATGTGTTATGACAGCCTTCATATGGTAGAATATGATTCTGTGCCTTTGCCTCCAAGAATGCTCATGCAGCACGATTTGTGTGTTTGTGTGTGTGCTTCAGGAGTGAGTCACCTGGGTGACGTCCTTCCAGCTGTGGAGTCTCTGAAACCAACAGCACAGTGACAAGCTGCTCTGACTGCACTCAGTGCGGCGTTTTGTGTCGTTTTAGATTTCTGAATAGGAAAAGATAGATGAGTCACGTTGAATATATGAAAATGTCCCTTCAGAGCTCTTCTAAGCAGCTCAACCAACCAAGTACCAGCTAATAGTCACAACCCACCTGGAGCGGAATGTTTACTTCCCATCGAAATTAAATTTGTGGAGAATAAAGAGCAGTGCTGGTCAGACTTCATTCTATACAATTGTAGCACCCGTATCACCACTCTGTGAGTCACTCACGTGAGAATGGGGGGTGCTTGGGTTCGATGTATCGTAAAACCTTTTAGCAAGAAGCTATTTAAAAAATAAATGAGACCCAGAGATGGATGTTCTTTTAACAAAAGTAAAATAAATAGGGCAACGCCCTTGTTTATTTAAATACAATAATTAATTTCCCCCAAAACCCAATATTACCAAATAGAGAAAAATAAATAACCAAAACTTCCCCAAAACATAAATAATAAACTCCAAATTCAGTGATACAAACCCAATAGTATCAAGGACGTTACATCAAAATATATGTTAGAAATGTTCCCGTTCCTCAACTCGGAGAATACCAGAGTTCAACAATAACAACAAAAAACTTTCCCCTCCAAGTGTCATGAAACAAGTATCAGCCGATGCGGTGTTGGGCCCAATCACCACACACAGCCACACATGTTCCAGTTACTCACGGCAACGATATGTACGGAAAGAAAACACGTTGCAGACCTGTTTGGTCTGGCAAAACATTGAGAGCGCCGAAATCACTTTGAAAACATTGAGAGCGTGGAAACTCGGGTCCGCGATGCGAGTCACCGACACGTCCGCCCGGCCACGCCCACCGTGGTTAGCTAGCTCGGCTCCCTCGATGGCGACCTCCGCTGCTTCTTCCCCGCTCCGTCCGACGGGGTTTCAGCTTTGGTTTCTCCTCCGTTTCCAGGCTCACAAACACACCGAGTCCGCGGTCCACTCCTTCCAGCCTCCCGCGCCGGTTTATTCTGACTTCTTGTCTCCTGCTAGCGTCTTTTCCTCTTCCCCAAAAACGCCGGCGTCCCGTCTCTTCACGACTTCTTCTCTCCTCCTCGAACCCCCAAAAACTTCCAGAACTTTCCAGTCACGTGTCTTCCCCGTTGTTTTCCCAACCAATCACCATTGGCTATACAGCGCGAATACACCACTGACCAATAATACGGTAACAAACAGTAATTACTAAAAGACTAACGGCCTAAAGCCTCTGGAGATAGTATTTAACTAAACATGAACTTAACATTAGTATTCATCACTATGACAAACATTACTCCATGCACAACAAATAAACATCTCCCCACTTAGAAATCAGGTGTCCCCTATTATGTATTTAATGTAAAATAAACATTTACTTTTTCTTTTTATAGGCAGGCACCTAGTTTTGAAAGTATGACTATAGTCCTAAGGTCACCAGGGGACTACACTCTCCCCCTTCTGGACAATTTTGATGCCCTCATCAAAATAAACCTTAGAGAACTCTAATAGTCTACCAGCCAACACTAGGGACCGGATTAAAACAAGTGTAACACAACGCCATGGGGTGGCACCAGAGAGTTTGACATACACCGCTCCTGGAGTCTCCATAGAGTCCACTTCCCACCAACACGCCATGGCTTAGGACTGTCACAGGGTGGTCACAAGGCTTGCCCAGTTCATCGTAGCTCAGCTTGACCACTGGACGAATTACTCGTTTTGAATGCTCAGCTTGTCCACTCTCAGCTTGAGTGTCCGGATAGGGATTGACGTCTGCTTCCCCCTCTAGAACGTCGACCTCTGGATCAGCGTTGGGAGGCAGGTTGGTCAGATTATTGACCGCTGCCTCTATTTCAACCGGGTCGTGAACTTGTCTTTCAGGTTCGGTGACAATTGGCTCGGATTGCGGGACAGTTCTGGACATGTCAGCAACTTGTCCCAGTCTAACTCAAGGGGGCTTGGCAGGTATACTTCGTCATACTCTAATTCTGAGGACACGTCGTCATCTTGGTTGGTTGTCGGTCCTCGTTTTTTTGTCTGTTGATGCAATGCTCTGGTCACAGGTCTGTGTTGTGCCCCCACTTCACCTTCGTCGACAGGGATTCTCACCAGGTAACCAATGGGTAACAGGTGGTTACGATGAATAGTTTTTTCGGCTCCCATGCCCCTCTCTGGCTTGATCTTGTAGACAGGTAAGTTGGGTAGCTTCTCCATAACAATATATGGTGAGGGTAACCACTTGCATTTCAATTTGTGCTTGCCTGTGACCCCAAGGTTTCTCAGCAACACCCGGTCGCCTTTGTCAAGGACTTGTTCTTTGACGTGCTTGTCGTGTGCTTTTTTATTTCTTTGGTGATTACTGTCTGACGCTTCAGTTGCAAGACGGTAGGCTCTTTGGAGATCTTTCTTTAGCTTAGCAACATACTGATGGTAGGACTTGGTCTTTTGATCGTCCTCGGCCACGCCAAAACAGATGTCTACCGGTAAGCGAGCTTCTCTGCCAAACATTAGCAGGTAGGGCGAATACCCAGTTGCGTCGTTTTGAGAACAGTTGTAGGCATGGACTAACTGACTGATCTTTTGACTCCATCTTTGTTTTTGCTTTGGATCAAGTGTGCCCAGCATTGACAAGAGCGTACGGTTAAATCGTTCTGGTTGCGGATCTCCTTGAGGGTGGTAAGGCGTTGTTCTTGACTTACGAATACCCAACATCCTCAGTAAATCTTGGATCAGGTTGCTCTCAAAATCGCGGCCTTGATCCGAATGTATGCGGGCAGGGAGTCCGTAGTGTACAAAGTAGCGCTCACACAGTATCTTGGCAACAGTGACCGCCTTCTGGTCTTTGGCTGGAAAAGCTTGGGCATATCGAGTAAAGTGGTCAGTCACTACAAGGATGTTGGTGAAACCTTGAGAGTCTGACTCAAGTGACAGAAAATCAATACAGACTAGGTCTAGAGGGCCTTGGCTGGTAATCTGTTTTAAGGGAGCAGCTCTCTGAGGAAGGGCTTTGCGAGTGATGCATCTGCCGCAGTTTTTGATGTACTGCTCCACCTCAACTCCCATTTTCGGCCAATAGAACCGGTTTCTGATGAACTCAATGGTCTTGTCCATTCCCAAGTGACCTGACTCATCATGCAAAGATCTCAGGACCATCGGAACATACTCTCTTGGCAGTACCAGCTGCTTTACCTCCGTCCCCTTTTTCTCAACCTTTCTGTAGAGCAGATGGTTTTGAATGAACAGCTTGCTTACTTCTTTGTTCAACAGGACAGAAATTGGATTATCGGGGCTGATGAATGATGAACCACCACAAAGCGACTGCTTGACTGGAGCGATAGTAGGATCAACATCTTGAGCGGTGACCAGGTCTTTGTAACTGAGCTGACTCAAAGAACCGAGATCCAACCAAACTGGGGAGGCAAAACACTCTGGTATACCATCAGGTGACACTCCAAGGGACTCGGCCATCGTCGTGGACTCCGTTGGAGTTTCACAGCACTTGATCTGCTTGCACAGGGCTTGAACACTTTCAGTCGATACAGTTTGCCAACCTTCTTCTGTGTTCGGACAAGGGTTGCGTGACAGGGCATCGGCGTCGATGTTGCTGCTGCCAGGCCTGTACTGCAGGGTGAAATTGTACGTGGCGAGTGCCGAGAGCCAGCGGTGACCTGTCGCATTGAGTTTGGCAGTCGTGAGAACATAAGTTAGGGGGTTGTTATCAGTCCTCACGGTAAACTGTGCTCCATACAAGTAGTCGTGGAACTTGTCCACCACTGCCCACTTAAGTGCCAAAAACTCAAGCTGGTGCACAGGATAGTTCTTCTCAGAGGCACTCAGCTTGCGGCTTGCAAAAGCAACAGGTCTCAAGCCCTCAGGGTACTCTTGGTTGAGGACAGCTCCAAGCCCTTGGAAACTGGCATCTATGTGAAGTATATAAGGCTTGAGGGGGTCGGCGAATGCCAGCACAGGTGCATTTGTGAGGCAGTGGATGATCTTTTTGAATGCCTCGGAACATGCCTGGTCCCACCGGTCCCCAAAAGGCTCATTGACTTTGTAGTAAGTCTTATCTGATGCTGAGGTAGACTTGTGTTTCTTTTGGGTGGGAGGATACCCTTTGCACAGCTCTGTTAGTGGTCGGACGATGATGGAAAAGTTTTTTATAAACCTGCGGTAGTAGCCGCAGAACCCCAAGAACGACTGCAGAGAAGGAAGGTCGGTTGGCGTCTTCCACCGCGTCACTGCGTCAACTTTGCTCGGGTCTGTGGCGATACCGTGCTCAGAGACGATGTGCCCGACATATGTGACTCTTGAGCGACAGAACTGGCATTTGTCGAGGGACAACTTTAGTCCAGCCTCTTCAAGACGAGCGAGAACTTTGAGGAGTCTTTGCTCATGCTCCTCCAGAGTGGTGCCGAAGACAATGAGGTCATCTAGATAGACAATGACTTCAAGCATGTGCATATCGCCGACTGCCTTTTCCATAAGCCGTTGAAATGTCGCAGGGGCCCCTGTAATTCCCTGCGGCATCCGCTCGAATTGGAAAAATCCCAGGGGACAGATGAAAGCGGTTTTGTCTTTGTCCTCCTCAGCCATTGGGATTTGGTAATAGCCACTGCGCAGATCCAACACCGAAAACCACTTACTGCCTGACAAACAATCGAGAGCGTCGTCGATTCGGGGTACAGTGTACTGGTCTGGGATAGTTCTCCGGTTCAGGGTGCGGTAGTCGATGCACATACGAAGTTGCCCATTCTTTTTACGTGCAAGAACAATTGGTGAAGCATATGGACTTCTTGATTCTTTTATGATCCCAGCCGCCAATAAACCTTGCAAGTGACGTCGAAGGTCATCCAAATCCGCTGGGGCAATACGTCGAGATCTCTCTCTGAAGGGAGTGTTATCATTCAGGCGGATGTGATGTTCTACCCCTTTAGCCAGACCGACATCCCACTCTTCAACAGAGAACACCGGGGAATGTCTGGAAATCTTTTGACTCAGCCTCTCTTTCCACTCTTTGCTTATGGGTGACTCACTGAAGTCAAACAAAGAAGGATCCATAGCTGGAACAGATTCCACATTAGGGTTCGATGCATCGGTCACAATGTCAGCGACGTGAAGGTGAGCGATCACAGTGCCCATTGGAATGGCAGTTTGCTTCAGAGACTCATTACGCAGTAGCACCAGGAAGTTGTTTGAATCGAGCATCTTG